TACCCCGCTATCATTTGGCGTGTCATGAACGCGGGTACCCGTCTCCTCATGCTCACATTACTCCCAACCGGTGCCCTGCCCCCCTCCCCATCCTCACGGCCAGCAAGCATCTCACGTCGATGTGGGAACTCTTGATTGAAATCAATCTGAAGTAGGCGAGCGTGTTAAAATTAAATAAATTTTTTAACACATATGACGAAGATTACATAATTTGCATTCTTTTGGATGTTTTGAATTTTTAAATGAAATATTATAAAAGTCGATACTAATAAAGATCATTACATTCCTGATTTCACTTAAGCATATTGAATTATTTTCGGATGTGAGGTGAAATTTTTTTCCCATGTTTCTAATTTGTGTCTTCTTGCTCTCGGTTGGTATTTGTCCTTTTCCTACCACAGTTTCTTCTTCTTCTTCTTCTCCTTCTTTCTTCAGCGTGTTCCTTAACGTTACTAATCCAAACATCCGTGAAGCTGTTGAGTTGTCGCTGCCTATAATCCTGTCCTAATTTTGCTGATGGAGATGACTGACTTGTGACACATTTTCGCTGTTGATTTGTGTCTGCAGTAGACGTGTACAGTGAAGCCATTTTCAGATTTGTTTGAAAGATGAATTTCTGCTGTTAGACGATGACTTTTCTTCTCATCATTAACGGCCCGTATGAAAAACGCTGCTGTGACTGTGTGTTGCAGGTATGTGGGCCTGGCAGGGTTCCGGTCAGCCGACGGATTCTGGCCAGGGGTCCAGCGGGTCGGCTGGACATCCCGGAGGTTCTGGAGGGCCGGTGACTGCGGGCGGAGCGACAGGACAGCAGGGGACTGGCGGCCCACCCCAGCAGCAACAAGAGCTTTCGGACATGCTCCAGATGTTGGATCAGGGGGGAGCCACCTCCTTTGAAGACCTAAACATGTTCAACACGAGCTTTGAGTAGCACAGACTGAACACGTGTTGTGAGGTTCTGAGGTTGGCATGGACTGAATATCTCATTACTTCACCCCACCCTTAGCATACAAGAGTTGGCATTGATGCCACATGCTTATGTTGCACAGGGTTGCCAGACGTTCCGATGTAAGTACGAGATACGTGGGAGTTGATGTGTCCTTGTTCTGGTGCTTATCAGACATTGGAGCCCACAGTGTCCTGGATTCATTAGGATATTTGATAACCAAAAAGGTTTCATACATATGACAATACTGATGGTGGCGGCGGCTTTGTTGGGTCGTCGTATTTGTGTCAGGTGGAATACCCGCATACATTTTCTGGCAGTTGACACGGAACTGACGTACGCACAGTAGCTGGTCAGTGACGTCATGCGTTCTTCAAGACCACAAACCAGTGTGAGTGGCAGTGGCTCTCGGACGACCGATTTTGTTAACCTCTTGAATACTAGGTTAGTAACTTGAAGTTTCTGTAAATTGCCCTCGTTTCCAACCTTCGCAGCCCATGAATCAGTCGGCGAGGTTAAGCGTGGTCCTTGTTCTGGGAAAGGTCTAAGTGTGCGTCGCAATGTGCGGAAGGTACTTATTTCGAACGCTGGTGACAGAAGACAATTCGTTTCTTTTTATCTTTTGTCAAGTACTAGATGTAGTAACCCAGCATCTCATTTGGGGAGTCTTCTTTCTTACATTCCGCTCACATTCTTCCAGTCTGCGTATGCATTCGTGTCTTCGCTCGTATTTTCCTTGCTTATCCCGTGAAACCTTAACCGCTCTGAGAAATGCCGTATCTTTTACTGGTGGGCGTGAGAATGTTGGAGTTGCCTTGACTTAATGAAGCTCTTTCATTTTCCTGTGTTCCGTTTGGTACCAGCGAAGCTCGCCACAAATGTTGCCATCTATTGGTGTCACTATATTTATAATGGCTGTTATTCTTGTTGGAAATTTTCTTAGGAATTCCATGTGCTATGGAAGATTGCGATTGTAAACTTTTATGTTCACATTTAATGATGGTAAGTGTTCCGTGAGAATCATAAGTGTCTTATTTGTGGTAGTTGCTAAGGAATGGTTGAAACTGCACTTAAAAACATTAATTGAAGGTTAGGTTAGGTAAACAGCCCAAAATACGTAGAATCGTACGTCACGAGTATACGGACACGTAAATGTTGGGTTGGCGATGCCGTGATAAGAACAGGATGGAACGTGTTTATCCGTGCCGGTTTGTAATCTGGTAGCGCGTCGCCACAGAGTGAACTGTGAGGTCGGTCGGAGACGCAGATTCTTCCTCTGCGTTGGATGCGTTGTGGCAACCCTGTGCAAATTTGATCCGTGAGAAAGTTGGTCAGTGTAAGTGATGACGTCTTTACATATCTTGCATAAATGTTTTAATAATGTAGTGTTGTAGTTCACACACATCTCTAAGCTAAACTGTGTCATAGTGGCAGGCCTGTCGCAGGCTCTGCTGTGTCGCATCGCAGGGCGGTTCTTATGCATTTATATGAGGTTGGCAAAACACATGATACTCCATTTTAATCAGCTGACCTTCGTATTCCTCCTGAAATATTCTGAATAATTAAAGCTGGCCCGAGCTTTGCTTTCTAGTAGATAACTTTGGATTGTCCCTCTGAAAGTTGGTATTGCGCGCTCAGGGCCGTACGCCGTAGAGATACGAAGCAGCCGCCGCTCCCTTCGTTTCATGCTGAATAGCCCCAATTATTCATCCAGAATTGTACCAATTTACCTTCCAATGTCATGTCTGAGATTTTCTTCAGCCCCTCCTGATGAACTCTGGGATATTACATTGAAATAAGGCACAACCGCTTCCTTCCTAATCCTTTCTGTTTCACTGTACATTATATATTTATTCTGTGATCCCATTCAGTTCTGAACGGTGTGCGGATCCTGGTATTATGGATTTCTTTTGCGTTAACGAGAGCTCCTCCTTTATGACGCGTGGTTTCATGTCATATCACTCGCTCTCGGAGGGTCCCCGATGACTGACCGAACGTTACGACCAAGTGGCCTGTGCCGTTGCTTCTTATTTGAGAGGTATCCGGATGAATCTGAGGGTAGTGACGTTAGGTAGACTGTGCCCGTCAACTTACGTCGCCGTACCATCAGTCCCAGGTTGCGATGTATCTGAACAAGGGTCTTTGTGCCACGAATGGGAATTTAGGGAACAGGTCAGAACTGACGGCAACGGTCAACACATTTATCGGCGCGCGACGCCGGGCCCCGCTC